TATATATATATATGCATATATTATACACATGCTAGCTATTCAAATTGCTATCTGTGTTGCTAATTAATAAGTTAATAAAATTACCACTTAAGTGAATGCAAACTGTGTAATTAATGCTCAAGTTGCGCGATGCTGGAGAGAAGGCATGAAGCAGATATATTTACCAACTAGCTCTTTGACAAGTTGTGAATAATTGAAACAAGTTTTCTATCCTGTAATGTCTTCAATATAGTGAAACTGTTAATGTAAATAATTACTCTAAGTTAGCATTTGGGCATAGATTTGGTTAAAACTTGAAAAAAGAATTTTTAAAATTGTGTTAAAAAGTAATTTTATATTTTCTTCATTCTTTTGGATTAGAAATGTTACTATATCTAAGCATATTTTCCGACATTTCATGGTAAAATAACCAACAAAAAAAATAAGAGAAGCTCTTCTCTACTACATTAAGAAATTTGAAAAGGGCCAAAATTGCCCATAACTTATTCGATTTGGCTTATATATGTCTTTCGTTAACCAATCGGTTCATAGAAGCCCCCACAGTGTCAAATATACATCTGAATAATAAAAAGGGTCCAAATATGCCCTCTCGCACTAATAGTGCGGGTATAGATAGATATTTTTAATTGTTTAGGGATATAGTTGGACTTTGTCGATTCCTCTGGGGCATGTGTCAAATTAAGGGTTCTTTCTTAGCAATTCATCAAAAATAGTTTCCAGACCTATGGATTCATCTCAATTCTCAATTCAAAATTTCACTTCTAACTTGTATTTTATTTTATTATTTTATAAAAGTAGTGTTTGAGCAAGCTCAGAACATCCTGGTTATTATATATACTGAATTTTGCTACTTCTCACCTGGATAGATATTAGATAATTTTTCTCGCTGATGATAGGCTATAATTGCGTATTTTAGTCGCTTATTACGCTCTATTTACTGCATTTTAGTTGACTTTGAGCTTTAATCGCTAGTATTTTACACTAATTGTGTATTTTATGCCTTGTAGGAGTGATTCCGAGCTATGTAGATATTATAGAAAGAATTCAAGTGATTTGGAGCTTTGAAGTCTAAGTAAAAGCCCAGAGAATTAAGCCGACATCGTGTTCGGGGATCAACGGATGATAGTTAAGAATGAAACGAAGAATTGAGCGGGCATACGACGCATTGTCTAGTAAAATGCACATAAATTTTCGCTCAGAACTCTCCACAATATATTGTTGGAAAGCTATTTAAAAGAGCTACAACTTTCATATTTTACGTTTTCCAAAATTCCCACTACCGCGGTGCATGCAGCGGCGCAGGGCGCGCCACGCCTGTAGAAATTTCTTACAGCCTGTCAGAATCAGCTCTCTGAACTTCCCCCCCAAGCACACTGCATGGCTCGTCGCCCCATGAGGCACATCTGTGCAAATTTTACAGATCCAGAGTCCTATTTCGAGCAGGAAAAGGTGTTTCGTCTAGGCCCAATCCTATTTGATATAAATACATGTAAAAACGCTATTTTGAGGACGGAGGACATATTATTGACGTACTTTAGACCTAGGGAGAGCACGGAGCCGCCGTGGAGACCGGTGAATTCGACCTAAGGAGGCAAGAGCACTCTAGGAGCAAGGCGGATAATTCTTCTATGAGTTTTTCACTTCCTTCTTCCTATTTCCATTATTGTAGTTATGCATACTATTATGAATAACTAATTTATTATCTCGAGTTTCGATAGAACCTTTTGTAGGATAAATTCTTGTTATATTTTTATATAATTGAGCCGTTGTATTTCTCTATTTGTTCAACTACGTTTATATTGTAGTTGGTTGAAGAGCTCTCAATCAACTGTGCCTATTTAGTGTGTATTACTCGGAATAGAGTACATATTTAGGTAGTTGTTGATCAACATCACTCCTAACGTATATGAGGAATCAATACGAAGAGTTTAAAGGTGGAATTAGGAATAACAAAATCTTGGTGTGATCCGAGTGAGCCGTAACTTAGTGACAGCTAGCGTAATTCGAAAGAATATGTCTAGTAAATTGTGATAGTTATTCAGGAGAGAATTACGACACTCAGAGAGCTCATGATTGGTAGAGAAAACTTAGGCAAATTTATAGAAAACGTAGCAGAAAGGATTCCGACAATATAGGAAATCATAACTCTAGACCTCCTTAATCATGTCTCCAATTCTTATCCTTGTTAATTGATAGTTTTACTACTTTCTAGTATTTGTTAGTTAATTAGATAAAAATAAGCATTATAATGTTTATAACTAGAAAATTATTTGAACTTATGTTTCTTAGCAATATTGAACAGTTGTGTGCACCAACTCAAAATATTTTCGAGAGCGAGTTATGTACACCAACTCAATCTTAGGTGTGGAATATGTGTGATATGTGTGGTGGTCAAGATGGTCATTTTCATGGTTGTGCTTATATGTGTTATCCTCCCCCAACCCCTTATTATGATGGTTCTACTTTTTCTAGTGAAGTTAATAGGAACAAAGAACCTAGGGAAGCTGACGTGAAGGAGATCAAAGATATGTTAAAGTATCTAATGGAACGAAGTAATGAGAAATAACTACAAATACAAAGGCTAGGGGATACTAACCAAAGACAATGAGATACTATCCAACGTCAAGAGGTAAGTATTCTTAGCCTGGAGGCACAAGTGAGGCAATTGGTTGAGGCTTTAAATGATCAACAAGAAAATATTATGAATAGTAGCCAGGAACAATGTGCATTAGAGACTGAAATTGAGGTGATAATGGATGAGTTCAGAGTAGAACAACAACAATCAATCAAACTAGAATTTGAGAATGCCGATGTTGTAGAAGAGATATTAGTGTCAACCAAGGACATTGAAGATACATATTTAGTTGACTCTAGTGTCATTGGTGTTGAGGATGCTGACAGTCCCAAAGTTCTTGTAGTTGAGCGCATTGGTCCATACTCCAAAATTTTTTCCACATTGTGTTTGGATAATGATATGGAAATAAAGTCATCTGAACCAATTGAGGAGTCAAGCAATGAGGAACAAGGTGCATATATTCTGGAATTCTTCTTACCAGAAAGTCAGGATTACACACCTCATGTAAAGGCCAAGAAGCGTAGAAGATTACACTGTTCCCTAGGGCCAATTAGATTTGCTCCACCACCCCTGGAGCATAACCGGAAACTTGAAGCCAAAATGGGGGTCAAATTCATAAGTTCAAAGTGGGGGCAGAAAGTGATTCACGTCATGCCGCGACATTAAATCAAGCTCTTGTTGAGAGGCAACCCCGCTTTACCGCTTTTTTTATTTAATATTTTTATTTTTTTAATTGTATTATTTTTGTAGTATCGATTTTTGATTTTCTAGGAGCATGGAAAGCAAAACTATTGGAAGGATGCAACAAAAAATCAGATGGTTGGAACTAAGTGTAAGGTACCTGCACGAAGGACCAGGCCTGAGAGAAGTCTGAGTACCCCATGAGCTGCTAGTGCTTTGGCCTACCATGAAGTTTCTTTTACCCTCTTATTAGTTATGATGTGCATTGGTGACAATGCACAATTTTAAGCGTGGGGTGAGGAGATTGTCTGGTTGACTTTCTATGCTACTTTAGCCGTGTTAGTTTAATTGAATAATACTTTTTTTTATTAAAAAGATTGAACTTTTTCTGACGATGAATCTATTAAACAATTTTCTTGAGGGATTTAAGTTTAAAGAAAAAGGACAAAAAGATTTTCTTTATAGGTAGTGTAGCAACCCCCTTGTTTTTTTTGTGTCGCGGTTCTTTTCCAAGGATTTTGTTTGAACCGAGTAGTATTTTTTCCCTTTATCTTTTATTTTTATTTTTAGAGTAGATTAGAATTTAGGGAAAAATGGAGGAAGAAAGATGAGATTCCTAGTGCCCTTGACTTGTTTGATAGTAGCATATTTAGACTTTGTCATGTGTAGTATCTTCCCTATGAGCTAAAAGTGCTTATGATGCCTTGGTTATTTAGACTGCATATTTTGTGACGCCTATGTCTTATTTTCTTGACTTATGTTCCCTTTGTGCTTAATGCTTAACATCTTGTGGCTTTGTGAACGCTTGCATTTATTGAGCGTCAGAATGAGACCATTCTTAGTGAGTCATGTGCCATATGTGAAGTGAGATTTTTGTGTAGTCCATGTCATTGTACTTGTGTCTAGAACTTGCCCGGTATGTGAATCGAAGAGAAATTTTAGGTGATACTCAATGATTTTAGGCTTTCCTTGATCTTTTCGAGCGGTATCGCTAGCACAAATAAAATCTATCCCTATTTAATCCTTTTGAGCCTATAAACTTTTATTTGGCACCCACATTATAAGTCTATACCCTTTTTATTCTTAATTGACATTGATTTGATCCTTTTACCTCTTAAAGCACTTTAATTGTGAGATGGACGCTAAATGAAGTACGAAGGGACTAAGTGGTGGGTAGCTTTTGATTGGAACCAATTAAAGAAAGAATGGTGCATTTATTTTGTAAAATAATACACCACTACTGGAAATTAAAAAAGAAAAAAGGAAGAAAAATCTGAAAAAAGAGAAGAAAAAATATAAGTGAATAAATTGTTGTCTTATTCTTGCTAGTGGAGTATAAATTAAAGTAGTGCTTAAAGAAAAAGGAAATATTTTTTTGGAGGTGATATTGTTTGTGAAGTTGAAGTTGTATTGAGAGAATTTGTGCTTAAAGTTGATTATGTGATGTGTTAAAACGCTTAGGAGGATGAACCACTATTCCTAAATATATCCTACCCGTCTCTTAGCCCACATTACAACATTGAAAAAGTCCTAATTGATTTTAGATCGAGTGAGCTTACATTAGTAGAGATTTACGTTAAGGGAAAGCCTATGGTACCAATTGCATGCATGTGACTTCTTTTGTAAAAGTGAGTGATATTCTTTGATATATATGAGTCCTTAAAATATATTTGAGCATTTGATTTGAATATGTGGATTCAATTTACTCTCTTATTTTTGTTGTGAGGACACATGGTTTCATGAGGGATATGTAACGTTATTAGACTTCTCTACGATATTGAGTGTTCAAGCCATGAGTACATTGTGATATTGAGTTGGTTTTTGAGGCTAGGATTGTTAGGAGCATGTTGTCTTTGTTTGCATATTTTTGAAGTATGTCATAAGAAAAGGGAAGTGTATGTGATTGCATCTGCTAAGGTTTAATTGTTGCTATTTGTTGCTATCAGCCATGGTCATTGGTGTAGTGTGCCTCAACTGTGTAAAAACAAAGTGCTCAAGGAAAGTGTAGATTGATTGCTCGAGGACGAGCAATGATTTAAGTGTGGGGAGCTGATGATAGGCTATAGTTGCGTATTTTAGTAGCTTATTACACTCTAATTTACTGCACTTCAATTGAGTTTGAGCTTTCATTGCTAGTGTTTTGCACTAATTGTATATTTTATGCCTTGTAGGAGTGATTCCGAGCTATGTAGATATTATGGAATAAATTTAAAGATTTGGAGCTTTGAAGTTTGAGTAAAAGCCCAAGAAATTAATCCGAGATCGTATTCGGGGATCAACGGATGATAATTAAGAGCGAAACGAAGAATCGAGGGGGCATACGACACATTGTCTAGTAAAATGCACACAACTTTTCGCTCAGAATTCCGTTTGGGCACCACAATATATTGTTGGAAAGCTATTTAAAAGAGCTACAACTTTCATGTTTTACGTTTTCCCGAATTCCCACTACCACAGCACGGGGTGCGCCGCACCTGTGAAAATTTTCTGCAGCCTGTCAGAATCAGCTCTCTGAACTTCCCCACAAGCACACTACGTTGCTCGTCGCCCCATGCGACACGCCTGTGCAAATTTTACAGAGCCAGAGTCCTATTTCGCGCAGGAAAATGTGTTTCGTCTAGGCCCGACCCTATTTGGTATAAATACATGTAAAAATGGTATTTTGAGGACGGGGGACAAACCTTTGATATACTTTAGACCAAGGGAGAGCACGGAGCCACCGTGGAGATCGGGGTATTCGACCTAAGGAGTCAAGAGCACACTAGGAGCAAGGCGGAGAATTCTTCTACGAGTTTTTCACTTCCTTCTTCCTATTTCCATTATTGTAGTTATGCATACTATTACGAATAACTAATTTGTTATCTAGAGTTTTGATAGAACCTTTTGTAGGATAAATTCTTGTTATGTTTTTATATAATTGAGTCGTTGGGTTTCTCTATTTGTTCAACTACGTTTATATTGTAGTTGGTTGAAGAGCTCTCAATCGACTGTGCCTATTTAGTGTGTATTACTCGGAAGAGAGCGCATATTTAGGTAGTTAAACAACATCACTCCTAACGTATATGAGGAATCAATACGAAAGGTTTAAAGGTGGAATTAGGAATAACGAAATCTTGGTGTGATCCGAGTGAGCTGTAACTTAGTGCCAACTAGCGTAATTCGGAAGAATATGTCTAGTAAATTGTGGTAGTTACTCGGGAGAGAATTACGACACTCAGAGAGCTCATGATCGGTAGAGAAAACTTAGGCAAATTTATAGACAACGTAGCAGAAAGGATTTCGATAATAGGGAAAATCATAACTCTAGACCTTCTTAATCATGTCTCCAAACATTATCCTTGTTAATTGATAGTTTTACTACTTTCTAGTACTTGTTAGTTAATTAGATAAAAATAAACATTATAATCTTTATAATTTGGAAATTGTTTGGACTTGTTTCTCAGTAATATTGAACAGCTGTAGCTAAGCCTTAGTTCTCTGTGAGATTCGATTCTGGACTTGTAAACCGGATTATATTTGCAGCGAACGCTTAGTCTTTTTTATAAAGCATAGTTGGGTGTGATCACTTGCCAAAACTTAGATGAAAAATGAGAAGAAACAACTTCCACTCTAGACATGATTGACCACAATCTTTAATTTAAAGGCCGCGCTTCCTTTATCCATTCGTGTTAGGGATGTATTCACGTCAACCACATTTGATATGTTTCAAAATCAATGGAATATTGATTGTGACCATATTGATATCGAGCATATTTGACATGTTTCAAAAGAAATGGGAGAAGTGATTGCATTGATTTCAACCACATTTGACATGTTTCAAAAGGAATAGGAGAAGTTATAACTTTGCTAATAATCTTTGGTTAGGTATGAGGAAGTACTTACTACTTCACCATAATCCTTATTGGTCACAAAATTCTGTCTTCAATAATTTCTTACTGTATTCATAGGTAGTTAATATCGTTATGGGCCATTGCATAAATTTTCAGCAAACCCATGTGGCTTGTTTTAGAACATTTACTGAACTCATTTTTTTTTATATATATAGCCAAAGGTGCTGAAACTTTTTTTTTTTTTTACAATAGATTAAGAAGATTTCAGAACCCTTCATATCATATATAACTAATTATTAACGGAGCTGAAGAAAATCACATCGGAGCAAAATGTTCCTAATATTTATGGTACTCCTTTTGACTATTTCTCAAGTCAGTGCACAATTTTAATAGTCAATACGACTATACTTCACAGTGCAATTGAAAAGGGAGCCGGTAAGAATTTAATTTAATTTTTAAATTTGATTTTGAATCATAGAAAAATAAAACATGTACTAATTAATATTATTTTACTCTTTTGTATGGTAATAATTAATTTCAGTTTGTTTGGACGGAAGTCCTCCTGCATACCTGATTGATAGGGGAAGTGGCTATGGAGTTAATAATTGGCTTATTCACATTGAGGTTAGAGTTAAACTTTTCGATATTTTTTTTTTTTGAAATTTATTTATTTAAACTTTAATAAATAATTCAGGGAGGGGGATGGTGTTCTACGATATCAGAGTGCATCAAACGTACCGGTACTAGGTATGGATCATCAATACACATGGAGGATCAATATTATTTTCAAGGAATTTTAAGCAACAAGCCTAACGAAAATCCAGGTAGTTATTAGGTTACATGCAAAAATAAATAATATTTTTTTCACGTTGAGATATTTTTAGAATTCCTAACTAATAAAAATCTAATTTTGTCAAAATGTTTAGACTTTTTAAACTGGAATAGAGTAAAGGTTAAGTATTGCGATGGGGCATCTTTTACCGGTGACGTTGAAGAAGTTAGTAAGTAAATATATTTTTTCATATTATCGCTAGAAATTTTGTGTTAATTGTAACTTTTCTATGTTGAAAAATGACATTTATTAATTAATTAGGTTACAGGGCTGCACTTCAGAGGAGCAAGAGTTTTCCTTGCCATCATGGAGGATTTATTATACAAAGGAATGTGGAAAGCTGAAAATGTATATTTCTTTACAAATTTATTTGGAAAAGTAGCTTTTTAATTCCGAAATTAATTATGCTATTAATGTCAACTCATGTCAGTCATGTCTACTGTCACTTAATTGGTACTAAAAAGGACAGTTCGGTGTGCTTATAAGCTCCTGTTACGTACGGGGTTTGGGGAAGAGCCAGACCACAAAGGTTTATTGTATTTGTACGTAGTCTCACCCTGCATTTCTGCAAGGGGGTATTTTCACGGCTCGAACCCGTAACCTCCTGATCACATGGTACTATAATAGAAATAGAAATCAACTAAATAACATAGTCTTAACTTCTTCTTCCGTTATATAATTTCATGTTAGGCCATTTTGAGTGGAACTTCAGCAGGGGGATTAACTGCAATACTACATTGTGACAAGTTTAGAAGTTTTTTCTCCACAAATGCTAGAGTTAAATGCATTTCTGATGCTGGTTTCTTTGTAAATATGTAAGTTTTATTCACGAAACGTGATTTGTTATATATAATTAGCATTATTGTTAATTACTGATTCTTAATTTTATGAATTTATGAAGAAAAACAATCCTAGGGGAACCACATATTAAGCAGCTATATGAAAGAGTTGTTACATTGCACGTAAGACGCTTTTGATTACTAATTTCACTTATTAATATACTTTCTGTAGATTATATGTATATATTTCTTGACTATGTTTTGGGATTTAATAAGGGATCAACCAAGAACCTGCCACGATCTTGCACCAGCTCCTACTTAGATCCAAGTTTGGTAAGATCAAGCAATTCTTTTGGGTTTATCTTTTAATTCGCACCAGAAACTACTTATATTTGATAGTCAAAAAAGTGCATAAAATTTATATAACTTTTATATATAACATAGATAATATATATATACAAAAAATATACTATATTTTTCGGCTACTATTTTGAAAGCGATTATACATTATCATTTTCCCAGTAATTTTTATGGAAGAAAACTGGCCCGTCTTAATTAATTCACTACATGATGTTTATTTCTTTTTAAAAAAAAATTGGTTTATTTTTATTTTTTGTACAAATTTTAACTAATACACAATACGATAATTTGGCAGTGCTTCTTCCCTGAGTATGTAGTACAACATATTCGGACCCCACTTTTCGTTATTAATTCGGCTTATGACTCTTGGCAGGTTAGAAATATATACGCGTTACTATTATTTATTTATTATAACTAAATTATTTTTATTTCTTTTATTTTCCTTCGGATTATAAATAAATTTCCCTTTTGCTTGATCATTAAAAATATAGATAAATAACAGCTTGATTCCTTATAATAACTGGAGGTACTGCAAGAAAGATATAAATGTATGCTCACCAAGTCAAATCCAAACTCTCCAAGGTCAGTACCAATTGATGGGGTTAATTAATATTATTCTCTTTTAACCTTATTCATGTGATATTCTTTTACCGAGGGAGTATCAGAAACAATCTCTCTACCTCTCAGGGTAGGGATAAAGTTTGCGTGTACACTACCCTCCCCATAACCCATTTATGGAATACTGGGTTGTTGTTGTTGTTAGTTTAATTATAACTCTCTATATATATGTTGATCTTGAATTATTGTTTTCAGATTTCAGGGTAATATTTATAAGGGCAGTTATAAATGGAATAAGACTAACTTCAGCAAGTGGATATTTCATAACCTCCTGCCATTCCCACAAGGGCATTGAAACACCCAGCTATTGGTTCTACCCCAACTCTCCTACATTGGTTAATAAGGTCATTTTATGTTTGCGTTTTACCATTAATCATTAATTTTCCTTTTATTTTTAAAAAAAATTCCCCTTTTTTTCTTTTGAAGATTATTTTGAGACTTGCTCATTATATTATTTATACAGGCTATTGCTCAAGCAGTTGGTGAGTGGTTTTTTGTTGAGAGTATTAGATTCCAAGAAATATCTTGTCCTTATCCTTGTGGAAAATTTTGCCAAAGCTAGGAACTTGGAGAGGATGTTCATATTTTACGCGTATTTCTGATATTTGTTTCTTTAATTTTACTTTGTTTTTAATGATTAATCCTACTCATGTAATTATGGGAAGTATATCAAATCACTTGAGATTGATTAAATTGTTAGTTAAACTTTATTATATTATTGTAAATTGGTATAATTGTTTCTCGTATTTTTCTTCAAAATATGAGAAAAATTTACATTCCCTCCTTCCATATTCATGAGCTCAAATTTACGAATAGATGAGAAAAAAATGCTAAAACCAAAGCTAAGAATCCGAAACTCCTCACAACACCATTTGATGCTATTGGTTGAAAATTAAGTTTTGATGATTAACAAATTTCTGTGTGCATGAGTTTAAGACCGTGGGTCTAGTGGTCATCGACTTAAATTCGTCGAAATTAGGCTGATCGGTAATAAATAGTGACCGAAGTCGGTTGCATTTTCCGACCGATTTCGGTCGGTCACTAAAATTTCATAAGTGACCAAAAAAGAAAAAAAATTCCGAAAAAACCGACCGAAGTAATCACCATCTGAAATCAAACGGGGGTCTGTACTGTGGCAATATATTATTCTACCACCAGACCATTGATATATTTGGGTTTAAGACTATCTTTTATTTTATTTGTACTCTTTAATTGTATTTTCACGCGAAAAATAACCCATCGATTTTGGTCGGTTTTATTAAAAATAAAATTACCGACCAAAATCCGTTGATTTTTTAAAATGACCGACTGAAATAACCCACCGATTTCGGTTGGGTTTTTGAATATTAATTTTTATTTTTTTGTATGAAAAATCGACCAAAGTTGGTCGGTTTCTTGAAAAATAAATTTCACGGAACGCCAAAATAGTTTCCCACATTTTTGTGCCAAAAGAACCGATTGAAGTTGGTCAGTTTCGTAAAAGAAAATTAAAAAATAAAATCGGTCAGTTTGCCGCGGCCGATTTTGACTGACTTTCTAGTAGGGCACCTACATAAAGAAAACTGAGAGATCCTTCACATGAGTAGTAATATTGCAACAACAAGAGCAAGACAAATTGAAGAACCTAGATCTAACCATTAAATTAAGTCTAGTTTAGTTTTTCTTGATCTTGTAATTGGTGATTTTAGTTGTAATCTTACATATTTTGTTCTAGAACAAATTTGTAAGAACATATTATGTGACAATCTTTCTGTTCTAGACTAAGAGCTTAGTTTGGAGTGTGCAACTACAATCATCTAGATTGTAGGCTATTTGAGTGACTAAATTTAGTCTCTTAGGTTGTAAAAGATTTTTGTAACTTGAAACTACTCGTTGTTTTAGTGAATTTTGTGAGAAAAAAATTTCAGAGTTAGGCCGTGACTTTTACTCCCTTGAGCGATGAGGTTTTCTATGTAAAATTCATGTCTTCTTTATTTTTCCACATTTATTGGCTACCTGAATTACAAGAACCAATTCAAAAACCTGGTTCTCGGGAAAACATACATTTCTGGTTGAAAATTTTAATTGGTAATTAATAGACTATTCATCCCCTACAGTGCATAATTTGTACACTAAACTAGTACATTTTAAAGCATGCGCACACATACACCAACAAAAAATTAATTGGACTGTGAAGAGATGGAACATAGGCTACAGGTGAGGAACAAATTGCCGCCGAAGCCACTGAAATCTACCAAGAGTTGTTTTCTCACTCTAATCAAATGGTTAACTTCAATGAATTATCTTGTCTTCCAAAACTAATCTCTACTGAGGAGAATAACATGCTAATCTTAGAACCCTCTGAGAAGAAATTAAGAGAGGTGGTTTTTTCATTCTATACAGATTCATGTCCTGGTCGTGATGACTTTAATGCCAAATTCTATTAGTGTTGTGAAATATCATTAAAGGGGATCTTCTTATGATGGTTAGAGCCTTTCTTTCAGGGATTCTATTCCTAAATCTCTTACTCACACTTATCTGATTATGCTCCCTAAAATTGATAATCCAGTCACCATATCTGACCTTAGACCTATCAGTCTTGGTAGTGTTTCTGTAAAGTTATTTCTAAACTATTGAATAACAGACTTGCTCCTCTACTACCTAACCTTGTGTCACCTAATCAATCTAGTTCTATTAAGGTTAGGTCAATAAGTGAGAATGTTATATTAGTTCAGGAGTTGGTGCATAATATTCCTAGGTCTAATAAGGATGGTAATGTAGTTTTTAAGCTAAACATGTCTAAAGCTTATAATAGAGTCTCTTGGCCTTTTCTTTGTCAGATTCTTAGAGCATTAGGATTTGGTGAACTATGGATTGATATGGTATAGAGGTTGTTGTCAAACATCTGGCACTCTATCAATATCAATAGAGTTAGGAAGGGTTTTTTCCATTCCTTCAGTGGACTTAGGCAAGGGGATCCCCTATCGCCCTTATTGTTTGTTCTATGTGAGGAATTACTTTCAAGTATGTTGAACCAACTTCCTGAACAAGCTGACTTTGTTCTATATTCAATGGAAAAACTAGGACCTATGATTATACATTTGGCTTATGCTGACGACACTATACTCTTCACATCAGGAGGTATGGAATCTATCAGATTTATGATGCAATGCTTACACACATATGAGGAGATCTCTAAACAATTGGTGAACAAAGAGAAATCAGCTTTCTTGGTGGCTCCTAATGCAAGTCAGAATAATATTGAGGATATCATACTAGGTTTCAACATAAGTTGTTCCCATTCACATACCTCGGTGCCCAAATTTATGTGGGGAGGAAAAAATTTGTTACTTCAATGATATGGTGTCAAAGATTAACAACAGGATACAGGGATGGAACAACATGTTATTATCCCCTGGAGGAAAGGCTGTTTTGATAAACTCTATCCTATACTCTTTACCTATGCATATTGTTGGCCCAAGTGAAGTTTGTTTTGATGATTGACAAAGGAACTCAAGCATGAACTAGGTCCATACACAGTGCACATAGATACGGGCAGATTCGAGCATAAGGGGTGCACGTGAAGGAGATAAGCTTAAGTTGTTATAACTTATATCTCTTGATTGAAAAGGTTGCATAAATGATAAGGAGAATGACTCCTTATTCGAAGAGAACTTTATCCAAGATAAGGGAAGGGTTAGAAGTTGAAGATAACTAGAACTCTTCCACCAAGGAAGAGTAAAATATTGGAACTCTATTTATTTTTTATTCTACTAACTTTATATATTTCAGGATGTTCTCACTTTACATGCACGTACAAAATCTGAAGTTAAACGTGAGTTGAGAGCAAAATAGCAAGGCATTTTTCAAGCAATTCTTGTGTAATTCAATTGTACGAACCTGAAGCTACATGAACTAAATAGAAGAACTGGTTCCAAGTGTGTGTCTTTTTTTCCAGTTTCATTGTAGTAGGTGTTTTCAAATTGTACCTTTCAGCTTTATCTAGAAGCAATTGTATTAGGTACTCTAAGTATTCAAGTTAGAGTTAACTTGAAGTTGTCACAACAGTTAGAGGTTGGTTGCCACAATGGGATTGGAGGTAATACTTAGGTTTACAAAGAGTTTTGTAAATACTATTTTGGCTCAGTGATTTAGTGAAGTATTGGAAAAAATCCTACTGAGTAGTAGGTCGTAGTTTTTTCAGCTTTTGAGCGGGGTGTTTTTCACGTAAAAATACTTGTGTTCTTTACTTTCTGTATTTATTATTTTTGCAATAGCAGTATAAGAAACACATAGAAGAAACATGTCCTACAATAATTTGTGCACACAAAAATTGGACACCATAAAAATCACCCCCCTCTTGTGTGGCATTGAATTATAAAATATCAATTGGTATCAGAGCAGGTTATTCTTGAAGAGACTTACACCTTAAGAGAAGCTCAACATGAGTGCACCACCTGGAAACTGGAAAAGGTAATCCACTGCTAGACCACCACTCTTTAATGACCAGTACTACTCTTGGTAGAAGAATAGGATGAGAGGTCACATTGTAGGAAAGGACTGTGAGCTATGGGGCATTGTCATCGATGGTCCACTGGCTACCATGAAGAAGAATGCTGAAGGAGTAGATGTGCCAAAGACAAGATCGAATTGCACAACTGAGGACTTGAGGAAGTGAGAGAAGAATGCTAAAGCCAACAAATAGCTTATTTGTGGACTTGGTCCAAATGAGTACAATAGAATCCAAGGTTGTACCACTGCTAAGCAAATTTGGGACACACTGCAAGTGGATCATGAAGGTACACCTTAGGTGAAGAGATCCAAAGGAACTCTACTGTACTCTCAGTATGAGAGCCTTGCTATGAAGGAAGGAGAAATCATTCAAGAAATGTACAAAAGGTTCAATACACTAACAAATGAGCTAAAATCTCTTGGAAGGATTACTCCTGGAGAAGAAAAGGTCGAGAAGATACTGATGAGAGTTTTGCCTATCACTTGGGATAGCAAAATTGTTGTCATCTAGGAATCAAAGAATATCACCACTCTTCCACTGGATGAACTAATTGGAAATCTTACTGCCTATGAACTTAGGAAACAAACCATGAAGATGGATGTACCTAAGAAGGAAAGGATCTTGGCTCTCAGAATGACTGAAGGTTTTGATCTAGAAGATGATAAAATGGCTATGATCAATAAAGATTTCAAGAAGTACTTGAGGAGAGGAAAGGATTTTTAAAGAAGTGGAAGCTACAACAAATCAAAAGCTCTTGAGAAGCAAACTAATAATAGCTTCTACAAGTGTGGAAAGATTGATCACCACATCAAGAATTGTCCGTTGTGGGAAACTGGATGGAAGAAGGAAATAGCTAAACGAAGAAACAGGAAGAAGGAATAGGTTCAACCCAAGAATAGCAACAACAAAGGATCAACCAAGGCTATGGTCGATGTTTGGGAGATAGCTCAAATGAAAGTTCAGATGATGATGAAGATGAACGAGCACTTATATCCATTAGAGAATCTGATGAAGAAGTTGAGGTAAGTGTCTCTCATCTCAAAGACAAAATTAAATTTTGTCTAAAGAAAGGTTATCTAAGTTGCTTGTAGAGCTAATTGATAAATCTGAGGATGTAAACAGTGAAAAGGAACAACTGTCAAAAGAATGTGTGGTTTTAATAGCTAAGTGCAAAAATCTGGAACTTAGGGCTAGTGAAACTGAAAGTGAAAATGTTGTATTGAAAAACCAGGTTAATGAACTTGATACAACTGT